GAAAAGAAAAAGAAAAGAAAACACTGCAAGTGTGCGATGCACATACTCCAGGGTTATAGATTACGCAATGAGTCGTGACATATTTTATCTAACCGTTAATTATGCGACAACTACAAGTTTTCGAACAACAAACGAGTTTTACTTTTGACCAAGAAATTAAAAACAGGAATTTTCCGACAGTGGACAGTGAATTGTAGACTAATGGATCGCTGTAAATGTAATAGTTTCGTGTACACGAAATTATTATTCGGAAATCTCTAGAAGATTAATGTAATAATCTCTATAATTTGAAATATGTACAGTCGAATCTCTTTAACTCGAGCCTCCTCTGTAAATTGAAAATTTAAGAGTTTAATTTAAGAGAAATTATTATTTTTCTTTCTTTAAGTCTTTACGTAATATTTGATCTTTGTATTTATACGAAATATATCGAATTTTTTATTTTTTAAATTCGTCTCATTTAAAAATTTCGACGAGAAGAAATCTTTACAACTCGAAAATTATAATTTTTTTTCTTGAGATTTTAACAATCGAAATTCATTGAATTAAGATGATTTTCTTTTTCGTAAATTAATTTTGAATTGAAATTGAACGGATTTGATTATGCTATTACACGTTTTTTTACATTTATTTTTGTCATGTCATTCGAATATTGTAAATTATAATCACTTAGATACTACGTATATAAATATAATGTTTTACATATTCGTTTCGAATGATAATCAATTGATAATGCAAATTGTTATTTGGTAAAAGTGAATTGGTAATATAAATCGAGTAAGTGTTACACATTTATATATTTTGTACATTGATAATATGTTGCTTTATCAAAATGTAAGATGATACATGTGAAAATGAAGATATTGTTTATTTTTTTTATAAATAAAAATAACAAGTTAAATGTCGATTCATGAAGAAATAATTAATAATTAAATATTTAAGATAAACATTAAATTTTAAAGATATTTGTTAATTTATAATGAGAGCAATTATCGCAATTAAAAAAATTTTTGATAGCGTGAAAAATATATTATCTGGAAATGGAAAATTTAAGTAAAATTATATCGTTAATATTTTATCGATATATTTCGAAAAAAATAATAAATATTTCATTTTTTTTGCATATAATTTTTACCAATATTCTAAGATGTTTTATTAGTAATAATTGCAATAGATTACATAAAAAATTCAACTTATATTCATAGTCATGTTATTTAATGAACGTATTGCTATTAAATTTAATATCTTATATTCGAAATTTTTTTAAAAACGTGAAATATGTAAAAGTAATTATCAAGAAACTATGAAAACGTAATTTTATATATATGATATTTCTTTTACATTTCATTTTCAACTTCCACTATTTTTCCAATGAACACATGTTTCTAATATTATGTTTTTTATTATTAAATTTTGTGATTCTATAAAATACTTATAAAAAAATTATAAATTATATATTGAATTTCTAGCATCCATGTTCCAAAAAATTCCAAAAAATTTAAACAGCCAATCAGATAATCATTTGTTATCAATTAAAATATCAATATCAATATCAATATAAATATCAATATTAATTAAAAATTAAAGATTGAACTTTTTCGAGCTTCGAATGAATACATCTCTGTTAAAAATGAACAATTCCTGGAATATATAAATGTTGCAACGTATCGACGATTCGATATTTCACGTTACTTCATCGTAAATTCGAAGTTAATTCAAAGCTCACTCCACGTTACCTCGGGAGAACGTTAAAAGCGGTCATAAATTGCCCGCTGTTTTCCTAACGATGAATCAATAGGAAGAAATCGCGTCGAGGAACGATTAAATTTGCATTAATAATTGTTCCGTGAAACGGGGGCAAAAATCGTTTGGAAAGGATGGATAAAAAGGTGTCTCGCACGTTCAACCCTTGCGATGCCTATGCTAATTATATAAAGAAGGGAGGCGATCCTCGTGGCGGCCACGTGCCTAACCGGAAACTCCCCCGGACCGTGACAAACAGCGCGTTTCCCATCACTCGTATATATATCTTCTTCCGTTCGTTTCTTCATCGCGATTAAATCGACCTTAAAAATATCTTCCATGCGAGATCAAGGTTTAATTTTAGATTAAATTGACTGTACACTTTTGTTTGTGCATTCATTCATTTTACATATTCTCACTGTATTTTATATTGTTGCTAATATCGCTTTACGATAAATAAAAAAATATAATCATTGAGATATATTTATAGTGAATGGAGTGAAATATAAGAGAATGAGATTGAGAGGTAAACTTATTTGGAATAAATTAAGAAGCATAGAAGATGCATCTCATATTATACTCTTTTTCACAAACTTAAGATAGTATTATAAAAGTATAAATATATATATATATTTTCATAAATTAATTTTTTCTAAAACTAATTTTGTATGAAGAAATTTTATTCTATATTTTATTTTTCAATTCTATTACGATTTTTTTGTATTCCTATAATTGTAAAAATTATATGTTAAAATTATTTATTATATATTAATATATTAATGAAAGATGTAAATATTTTATATGAATCGTTCATTTTTATTGAATGACAATTATAAAAATGTACTAATATATTCTCACCCCTAATATACTAATGCATTTGGTCAATCGATTCTATCCCCTTATGAGCTTGTCTATAATTTATCAAGTAATAAAGAGTGAAACGTTTATTACCTTGACGTTTCGACATTTGACGATTTTCCATAAAATCTTCGTAAAATATGCAACTTTTCTAAGTAGGAAAATCATTGTCTGCGGGATTGTAGATACCATTCAATCGTATAGAAATGAAGAAATGGTATTATTAAAGAATTTTTCGTTACATATATTAAAACATTTACTCTATACACTTATTTAAATTATTACTTTTACATTTACTTAAATTTACTCTATTAAAATAACATCACTTTAAAAACCAAAAAAAAAAAAAAAATAGAAAAACGAATCAATTCTTTTTTCCTCGATAAATTTCTCATCTTCTCAATTGAAACAAAATTTATCCAATTAATTAAAATTCTTCGATTTTAAAAGAATACGATAGATATAAAATATTTCCCCAACCACAAAATCCAATAAAAATTAACAATAATCACTACTTAATTAATTATTCAATATTTACTTGCAATAATCGTTTTACAATTTCATTTCTCTATATACTCCTCCTCCCACAAACTCTCCTATCCAACAAAACACAGCCTTCTATCATAATAAATTTGCAGAGCGGCGAACTATACGATGACCATGCGTGATTCACAGACATATGACATTCAGGAAGCGTTCACGATAGGTACATAGGTGCACGCGTGTATTAGACACGTTATATAGCAAGAGGGACGAGGACGCGTGCATCGCGTTTGTCCGAGGATGCGTTCTATTACACGCGCGTATACGTATATAGTTGGGCATTAACATGCACGCGCCACGTCGATCAAAAAGGCGCGGTCTATAGGACGAGCCACGACAGCACGGGTTTTTCGGTATCGCTCGTTACACCCAGGTATACGTGCATGCCACGCCGATAAGCGTAATTTTGTTCCATCGACGACAGCTACGTCGCCTGTTCAACGGAAATCGGATGGACGACGAGGGTTGAGCATTAGATTGATGCATATAAAATGAAACGAATTTCTTCTTTTCGAAATTTCAAATTATATTAATATACGAATATATTATAGATTATAGCGCGTTTATAAAACGATATTGCTTTGGAAAAATACGCAAACATCTCTCGTAATAATTTAACAGAGAAGATGTTAGAAATATAAAATAATAAATTGTATTTCTACGTGGGTAAATTATCCATGGTATTTCTTGTATAAGTAAAAATAATTATGATCCAAAAAATTGATAAAAAGATTTGCTAATATCACGCAAAGAGATTAAAATTTATTTAGAAATATCGTTTCAATTCGAAAGATTTCAGATTTTCCAGATGAAATATTAATGTAGAAGATGATACGCGAAGAAGTTCCTAGAAATTTCGATACAAAAAGAAAATGGAAGAAGGATTCAAAAAAGTTACGATGAAAAAAAAATAAAGTCTACGAAAAATTAACGAGAGATGGAAAAATTGAAAAAAAAAAAAAAAAAAGTT